TATAAGGACATGTGCGAGATCTGGAAAATTCCCTAACAGGGTGCATCCACAGTTCATGTGGCCAACCTGCCCATCCCTCCCAAAATGTTTATTTAAATGAGGGAGACAAAACAAAATGAACTTACTCTCTATTGGTATGACTATTCAACCAAAATTCCTTTACAAAATAAAAATAAAATTTGTCCCTTACCCAGTGTTATGGGCTGAATTGTACCCCCCGCCTCATTCATATGTTGAAGTCCTAACCCCTGCGCCTTCGGAATGTGACTGTATTCGAAGACAGCGCCTTTCAGGAGCTGATTTAGTTAAAATGAGGTGGTTAGGGTGGGCCCTGATCCAGTAGGACTGGTGTCCTTACAAGAGGAAACTCGGACACAGACCTGCACAGAGGGAAGACGACGTCAAGACACAGGGAGAAGACGGCCAGCTACGAGCCAAGGAGAGAGGCCTGAACTGATGCTTCCGTCGTGGCCCTCAGGCGGAACCAGCCCTGCCCACACCTTGACCTTGGACCTCTGGCCTGTAGATCCACGAGACAATACATTTCTGTTGCTTACGCTGCCCAGTCTGTGGTACTTGGTAAGGGCAGCCCCGGGAACCTCGTTCACCTGGCGGTGACAGTAAGGAAACGCCTGTAGCTGGGCTCCCTCTTGCACGCACAAGCCCGTGAAGTAGGGCAGAGCTGGGATGTAAACGGATGAGTCAGACCCGGACAGCTTATTCATTGCTCCCACGAACCCACAGGCCGAACCCCTGAATCACTACGTTATTTATCATCAGGCTCAGAAAGTCTCGATGAGGAAATGAGTAGAACCTAAACTCATCAGCTGCGTTTCTGAGACATGCCTAATTTCCGAGGCCCTTTCTGGGCCAAACTGAGAACTGAAGAGGTGAAGAGCCGGGCAGCCAGCTGGCTCATCGGGGGCCCGCAGCGCTCAGACAGAGCCCTTTGTTCTGCCACTCCGTCTGTTCAGGACAAGGGCAGAGAGAAGGGCCTGTCTTGCTCTGCGGGGAGGCCGAGCAGGGGCTGCCTGGCACAGTTGGTTGGGGATGCTGGGCGCACAAAGGGCTGGTGGACAGGGACCAGGGGAAGGCAGCAACCATAGGGGGTTGGAGGGCCCCAGAACGTGTTCTTTCCTCCCATGGAGTTAAAGCAGCAATGTCACGGTTAGGGGACAAGCAGAGAAGGATGCGCAAAGAGCAGAAGTGAGACAGTCTGGGCTTGAGGATGGCCAGGCATCTGGAGCCAAGAGGGCAAACAGGAGAAGATAATGCAGCTTCAAAAGCCACGATGATCCGGGGCCACCTCCGAAGTAGCTCTTGAGACGAGAATCTAACACCGCTAATCTTGGAAGAAAAGCAACAATTCGTTCCTGCAGAAATCCAGGTCAGTCGTAAGACAAAGAAGAGAAAGACAATGGCATCCTCTGTCCCTGCGAGTGAGGACGGCCGGCTCGCCTCCTGCTCCTCCTCTGCTGTCCCTTCTCGGGTGCGCTGCCTAACTCCCCCTCGGCCCGTTCCCAGTGGCGCCTCCTTTTTATCGGGACTTCTGATTAAGAACCGACCAGATGGCGGAATTCAGTTGCTGGCCTCTTTCTCCACGCCTGCCCTTGGCAGTTCTCCAGGAGCTCAGCAAACACTACCGACTACTGAGGCAATGGTGGGCCCAGGACAGGAACCAGATTTTACTAGAGTGGCGGTTCTTGCTGGCGGTAACTCTGCCCCCAGGGGACACACAGCCACATCTGGAACATTTTTGGTTGTCACAACTTGGGGTGAGTGTGTACTACTGGCATTAAGTGGAAGGAGGCCAGAGATGCTGTTCAACATCCTATAATGCACAGGATGGCTCCCCCAGCAAAGAATGACCTGGCCCGAATGTCAATGGTGCTGCAGTTGAGAAACTGCTCTAGCAATTTGGTCCTCACCAATTTGAGGTTACCAATGATCCTTCGTGTTTCCAGCAAGCCCAAAGAGCCATCTCTGAAGTCCACCTCTTTAGGCCTTAGCTTCTGTTTGCGGGAAAAAGAAACTAGGCCCCCTTGCTCCTGGTTGCCAGAATAAAAGAGCTGGGTATAAAAGTGTCTATCACTTTATTAAGCTGCTCAGTAAGTGGCAGAGCTGCAGGGATCTGCTTGTGCAACTCCCTCTTCCCGGCTTGGCTTAACACCTCTGTATCCTTCAAGGCTTGGCTTGGGCCCAGCCACCTCTTCTGAAGAAACTTGCTGGAATCTCCCATGCCCCCAAGCTGGCACTAGTCGTCCCTGATTCTGTCCCCATGACTTCTTGCACCACCTCTGTTGCTGCACTGACCACCCACTCTGAACTCCGTTATTCCCACGAAGGGGGCACTAGAATGTCCCTTCTCCAGGCACAAGGGGTCATCTCTGTCCCAGGGACCCAACCCACAGTGCCTGGCACAATCAGCCCTTGCTTCACTGAACTCTGGGCCCACCCAAGACACACGGTTTCCCAGAGACGAGAAAGGGAGGCGGTACGTTAATAAGCCCCTTTTGGGGACAGAAAACGGACCCTACAGCCTAACAGAAAGGGGAGATTCCCAAGTCCCCACCTGCTTCCCCGAGTCACAGACCTGGACCTGAGGGAGAGTCTTGCCCAGGGACCTCCAACCAGCAGGATGTAGCTGAAGCTTTGGGAACAGGTGCAATGTGCAAAAGCACATTCAGCACAACAGTTTTCTATGTGGAAGATAAGAGAGCAGTAAAAAAACCATTTTTAGATATAAACTGTAGAATGGAAAGCTGAAGAAAAGTAGGATCACTGCAGTGGAGACTCACCAGTTGGGGGCTGCATAAAATCTATATGCCTCTGAGGAGGCTGTATGCTGGAAACACCAAGATTATCAAGAGGGGTTGGGTTTCAAAGTTGAGAAACTCTGACTGAGGCCAATCTCTTCATTTTCAGGTGAAGAAACAGACAAAGAGACTTGACAGAGGTCAGGACCTCCAACACAAGACCCTCTGTGAGAGCCCGCCTGGCTATGCTCCTGGTGCAGGCAAGAGACAACAGCCAAGGCCATGCAACTGGAAGATTCCAGACCTGTTCGTGGACAGGTGTCCAGGCCAGGGCAAGCCCACACTCAATGTCTGCAGGAGGTACGACTTTGGGCTCTAATCCTGTGTCCTGGGGCAAGCGAGGCAGACAGCCATCTTCCAGAAGGGCCAGAACATTCTGGAAGTGAAGGAGGTGGTTATCTCTGTGGCCCTCTTTCCATTCAAGCTATCCAGATTCATCTCTTGAACGAGCTATAAACTCAGGCTCCCCAGCCCTTCTGGCAGATCCCATACAAGGATCCCCACAGTCAGGAAGGAAGAGAAATTAAATTAAGAGAAAAAAACCACCCGGTACAAGGTCCTTGCCAGAGCTGGGCCCATTGGATGGTGAAACAACTTTCCAGATGCCCATGTCACCTCCCACTGCTCCTCGATGCCTTAAGAGGGGACCCCAAGACTAGAACACACCTTAGGAAGGTAGAAGCTGGGACCCAACTGCAAGGCACAATGTCCCCATCAGACCCCACTTCAGATGGAGGTGCCGGAGAGGCTTTTCCTTAAAGATCCCTGGCACGCAGGGCGCCTGGGAGAGAAGGGAAGGCATGCTGGCTGGCTGCTCTGCCTCTCCCAGGCTGAGCTCACAGCCGCCCGCGGGGGACAGATTTCCTGTATGTCGTCGTTTTTACCCATTTAAGTCCAAGGATGAAACCCAGAGGAGGTGGTGACAGCCTAGCACACTCGGGTGCACGCACACGCACTCCTTCCCTTCTGAAACCCAGTTCCGGCCCCACTGGGGGCCCAGAGGCTCCTACCTTGCTCCCTGGAACCCTGGGGGGCTCCAGCCAGCCCTGTCTTAGGAGAGTGGAGCGGTTTTCAAGTCCCAAATACTGGCCCCGAGGGTGCTGGGACTCGCCCCGGGCCAGCAGTTGGGGGTGAAGTCAGGAAGATGATGAATCAAGAGGGGAAGGGGGGCCCCCAAATCTCCATGAGCTATACCCCAAGGTCGGTACAGGGCTACTCTAGACCTCTCCTCCTCCCCAGGCCCTCCCTGGACTGGCTCTCAGTTCTTGCAACTGCTTCTACACCCTTTTCCCCCCTCCTATCCCTCATTTCCCCCCTTCTCAATGGGGCCGGCCACCACACCAGCGGCTTCGGAACCTCTCGCGTTTACTGAGCACCCACTGAGTCCCTGGCGCCGCCCTCCCTCAGGCACCATTCCTCCTCCCCTTCCCCCGTCGGCAGAGGCCCCCAGGCCGTCCCCTTCCCCCTAATCGCTCCCCAACTGTCCCCCCCCCCCCCGGCCTTACCCCTCTCCCCTAGCCTGGGCCTCTCACCTCGCCTCCTTGTCTCTCCCCCTCCCAGCCCCGTTTCGTGCGATCCCTCAACTACCACTTAAGCCACGTCCTCTTCAGAGAAGCTGCTCAAAGCCACAAGACCTGCCCCCCACCCGCCCGCAACTCCCTCACCAGGTCATCCCATCAACTTTCCCCCTCGCCCCGCTCTCACCGCGGCTCCGACATTCCCCGCACGACCCCCACGCTCGTTCCCGCCCTCTCGCCCCTGCCCTCGCCCCCCCCATTACCCCTCAGCTCCGTTGCCCTACGAGGCAGCCCGCCGATGCGAGCTTCGAGATCGAGCCCCCAAAGCGCGGCCGCACGACACTCACCTGGGCCTCGGCCGCCGCGCGCCGCGGGTCCCGGGCCGGGTCGCCGCCCGGCCGACAGCCCGCCGCTCGTCCAACCGCCCCGCCCCGCCGCGCCCGCCGCTCCCCCGCGCGATCCCGCTTCCGGGTTCCGGAGGGGCGGGGCCGGGGCGTGACGCAAGCGCGCCATTGGGGCGGAGCGCTACGAAGCCCCTCCCCCCCTTCGAGCTGCACCGGCCACCGCTTTCTGCCGCTGGTGGGCGAAACCAAGTGTGAGGGGAGGACAGAGAGGCGCGCACGCAGGGGTTGCCCGCTCCGCCCGCACCCACGCTCCCCGTAGCCCGCGGTCACCCCTCTGCAGCGCCGCAATATAGCCCGGCCCGGGGAGAGGGGGCGGTGACCGGACTTGAAAGGCCGGCCTTCGAGTTGAAGGCGGGAAAATGGCGGATTCCTCGGGGCGCGGTGCCGGGTGAGTTGAGGCGCCGCGGGTCTGGATTCGTGGGTGCCGGCCGGAAGGCCATAACCGAGGGCTGGGGGTAGAGGGGCAGCAGAGTTGGGGAAGAGGGGTCTTTGGTGAGTCGGATCTCACCTCACTAGGAACCACGGAGGATGCCTAGGCCCTGAGGCCCCTGGGGGGTTGCGGCCTCTGCGCATGCTCGGAGCGCGGCCGCTTGACCAGACCGCGAGTTCGAGTCCTTCCGCCGCTTCGATCCGGGCCCATCTCTGGCGAGTGGCTTAACTTGTCTGTACCTTGCTTTCCTCTGCTGCGAAACGGGGCTGATGACGCCGCTGCTCAACCCTGTACGCCTTGTGTGAGACTTAAAAGCTGTTAGTACAGTGTCTGGCCCCTAAATGTAATCTGTCGCTATTAGAATTATCATTTTGGAGTGGACAAGTGCTGGACCACTAAAGTATCTCCTTTAATACTCCCACCCGCTTTTTTCCTATGCCCCCCATTTACAGATGAGATCATGGGGGCTCAGGGAGGGAAGGTCATTTGCCCAGGGTCACACAGCAAGAACAAGAAAGACAGATCTTGAACACTTACCTGATGCCAGGCATGATTCCAGAGCTGTTTGTCTTATTTGTTCGTTCGACCGATGTTTGTTGTGCCAGTGCGAATTAACATTTAACAGGCCAGGTAAAATCACTTGCGTTTCCTCCACAGCCCCATGCTTTAACTGTGAGATTGACATTAGTCTCTCCCACGTACAGGGGAAGTACCTAAGGCTGGCATAGGTGCGGTGAGCCCCCTTCGCCCACTCCAAGGTCCCTGCAGCCCTGAGCCCTGAGCCCATTTAGTTTGACTCCAGAGCCCTGGCTCACACCCCTGAGGAAATCCTTGCTCTGTCTCTTTCCAGCTCTGAGACTCACCAGGGTGACCTGTTTAAGCCTCAGGTCATGTTTAGGAAATGAGGAAAAGCAGGCCAGCAGTTAGGGATTTGTAGGGTTGGGAGGATTCTGTGAAGGAGCAGAGCTGCTGGTGCCCAGGGATCATTTGTTAAGTTGCCTCTCCCCACTGTGGCCTGGAGGTGTCCCCCAGCACGGCCTAGGTCTCACCTTGGGGTCCTCAGGGCCCGCTGCATAGGAGGTGGCTGCAGTGAGCTAGGCCTGGCCACTCAACCTGCTCCCCCCGCATTGCTGGTCTCTTCCTCACATCCTCCTTTTCCTGCTCACCCAGGCTAGAAACCTGGGAGACATCACGACCCGCCTGCACCCTCCAGGTGATTAGAATTTCTAATTAGAATTTCTAAAGTGGTTTCTACCTCGTGCTTTTTTCTTTACTGTTAAGCCAGGCTTCATTCTTTCTTTACCTAAATTGAGGTGAAATGCACATAACATCAAATTAACCATTTTAAAGTGGGTGCTTCAATGGCATTAAGATATTCACAGCATTGTGCAACCACCATCTCTATCTAGTTCTAGAACATTTTCGTCAGCTGAGAAAGACACCCTGTATCTATCTGCATTCACTCCCCATTGTTCCTGCACCCCGGTCTGCTCCTGGCAACCATCCATCTGCTGTCTATCTCTGTGGATGTGCCTGTTCTGCACATTTCATACAACATGTGGCCTTTTGTGTCTGGCTTCTTTTCGCTCAAGATAATACTTTTGAGATTCATCCATTTTAGAATGCATCAGTACTTCATTCCTTTTTAGGGCTGAATAATATTTCTGGTTTGTTATTTCTTGACATGAGTCTTACAGCAGTCTTCTAAGTTCTGTCTTCAGAGCCATGCTCCCGATCACCCATTCACCATGCTAGGGGCTCTCAGCCTTGACAGTGCTGACATCTGGGGCCGGATTATCTCTGTGGTGGGGGCTGTCCTGTGCATTGTAGGGTGATGAGCAGCATCCCTGGCCTCCACCCACTATGCCAATAGCAACCCCCTCTGTTCTGACAGTCACAGATGTCTTCAGACATTGCCAAATGTCTCTTGGGGATGAAAATTGCCCTCGAATGAGCACCCCTGAGTTATTTGTATGACAAATATTTATCAAGTGCTTCCTGTCTGCCAGGCTGTTTCGAGACTGGATGTTTATGTGTCCGTGTCCCATCCCTCCCACCTCGTCCCCGAATTCATATGTTGAAGCTGTAACCCCCTGTATGGCTGTATTTGGAGTTGTGGCCTCTAAGAAGTAATTAAGGTTAAACGAGGTCATGAGAGTGGGGCTGTGATCTGACAGGACTGGTGTCTTTATAAGAAGAGATGCCAGAGGGCTGGCTGGCTTGCTGTTGCCGGCACTCTGCCTCTGTGCATGCACACGGAGAAGGCGGCCACCTACTTGCCTGCACCTTCACCTTGGACGTCCAGCCTCCAGAACTGCGAGAGATAAATGTCTGTTGTTTAAGCTGCCCAGTCTGGTCGTATTTTGTGATGGCAGCCTGAGCTGACTAATACACAGGCACTGAGGAACACTGAAGAACAACAGCAGACCTGATCCCTGTCCTTCTAGAGCCTTGGAGCCTGTCTTCCTTCCAGCCGCCTGTGGTCTGATGGTGTCCGTCTCCTGCCACCTGTAGGAGGGCTCTGCAACTAGGGTCTGCGGGTGAAAGCCACAGCGCCCCCTTTTTTGTACGGCCAGCAAGCTAAAAGGTTTGTACATTTTTAAATGGTTGTAAAAAAAATCAAAAGAAGAATAATATTTTTTGACACGTGAAAATTGTATGAAATTCAAATGTCAACGTGTGTAAATAAAGTTTTATTGGCACGCAGCCACACTCTTTCCTTTATGCATCATCCGTGGCTGCTTCGTGCTACAATGGCAAGGCTGGGTAGTTGTGACTGTGAGTATATGGCCCACAGAGCTGAAAATATTTGCTGTTGACCCTTTACAGAGAAAGGATGCCGACACCTGGGCTCTAGGAACAGGTCCGAGCCCTTAAGGTGGGAATTCAGAGTCTCCAGCCTGGCCTCTCCTTCTGGTCCTGTATCTCTGTCTGTCTTCTCCAGCTAAGCCACAGGGTTGGTCATTCCTGTTTCCACACCATTTTCCTCTGCCATGTGCCCTTGGCTTTGTTGGTCCCTGTCTCAGAAGGTCCTTGCCTATGCACTTTGTCGCTCACCTGTCCCCACCCCTTTGCCTGTCTGGGGGCTCGCTCTTCATGCTTGCCTGACGTGAAAATGCTGCTCTTCCTCTCAGGAAAGGAGCTCCGTCTCCTGGTCACTGCGCATCCCCAGTGGCATCCCGTAGGCACAGAGATGCCTGATGAGTTAACGCACCCGTGGTTTAAGTTGGGATCTTTGAGGCTCGGCAAAAGTACTCTGTCTTCTTCCTCTGGACCCTTCTCAGCTCAGGTGTTGGGCTATGGCCATGTTGTCCCAGGTGACTGAGGCTGGGGCTCTGTGTCCCTCTTCCTGTTGAGGCGGCCCCGCCTCGCAGAGATGGGCGCTGGGGTGGAGGATGCTGGGACTGGGCTGTCTCGAGAGAGCCAGGGCTCCTCGCTGGCTTCCCCGAGCGTATTCAACGACATTGACAATACCCCCGTCTCCCTCTCTTAGGAAGCCTTCCTCAGGGGGTCCCAGTACTCCTAGTGGCACCAGGACAAAAGGAAGAAGAGCACAAGGTGAGTAGAATTGGAATCTACCTCATGATCCAGTGAAATAAAAACTGATTTTTTTTTTTTTTGGTAAGTGCTTTTGGGGAAGAAAAAACCAGGCCAGAGCAAGAGACTGGGGACTTTATTTCCTTCTAGTCACACCTTTGGAGACTCCGAGTTTGGTCACCCAGCCCTGCAGCCAGGGGTGCGAGAAGACCTGGTGGGGGTCATCTAGGGCAGGGCAGTGGGCCCTTCTAGCCAGGGGGGGTCGCGTTCTGTGCCCAGGAGTGTCATTTGGCAGCGTGGGTGAGGAGAGCGTAAGCTGAATTCATTATTATTATTTTTTTTTTTTAAGATTTTATTTATATATTTATTTCCCCCCCCAAAGCCCCTGTAGATAGTTGTATGTCATAGCTGCATAGCCCTCTAGTTGCTGTATGTGGGACGCGGCCTCAGCATGGCCGGAGAAGTGGTGCGTCGGTGCACGCCCGGGATCCGAACCCGGGCCGCCAGCAGTGGAGCGCGCGCACTTAACCGCTAAGCCACGGGGCCGGCCCCTGAATTCATTATTGAACATCGAAATTTCATTTCTTCTCTGTAAGCGTGTCAGCCCCTCAGGGTGCCCACATGGCTGATGTCCACCTGTGGGCCTGGGTCATGGTTAACAGTCCCCTTTGACTCTTGGCAGTGCCCAGTGTGGGCAGTAGACTCGAGGATCTCCCTCATTGAGCTCAAGCATCTGACACGATGAAGTATTTTCTTCTTCTTTTTTTTTTTTTTTGTGGGGAAGATCAGCCCTCTGCTAACATCTGCCAATCCTCCTTTTTTTTTTTTGGCTGAGGAAGACTGGCCCTGGGCCAACATCCATGCCCATCTTCCTCTACTTTATATGGGACGCCGCCATAGCATGGCTTGCCAAGCAGTGCGTCGGTGCACACCTGGGATCCGAACCAGGGAACCCCGGGCCGCTGCAGCGGAGCACGCACACTTAACTGCTTGCGTCACCGGGCCGGCCCCTGAAGTATTTTCTTAAAGTGTGTTGTGTGCCAGTGCACGTCTCAAAACCTAGAGCAGAATTCTAGTTCCAAGTGACCGAAGGTTTATATGTGACAGCGTTGCTTGATGACTTTGTCTGTAGCATCTATTTTATGTACACATGGTCTGGTTCTCGAACACAGATTATATCCTCCATTGTAACATTGCTTCTCTGGGAAATCCACCCCTGTTTAAAACAAACAGGTGCCTTCTAGTTTTCCAGAAACTTGAAACAACTTTTCAACTGTCTGAGGAACCCACTGCCTCAGATTCTTCCGAGATGAGCAAAACCCTTTGCTGATGGGATTAGAAAGACCCAATGCAGGGTGGTGTCCCCTGCTTGGAACTGGGGGTGTCCTTTACCCAGATCTCTCGCTCGACATCCAGTGGCAGACCCTTGGTGTGGCTTGATTCTCTTCCCCGGAGCCATCCTAGTGCTGGTCTTGACCCTTAGGTGCCTCCTGCCCTATTGTCCGAGCCTGCTCTGCCTGCAGGCATGGCTCTTCTCTGCTGGGGCACGCGCCGGCCACCACCGCTCTGTGTCCAGCTCCAGGCCTCCCGTTGACTGTGGGTGCGCCTCCTTCTCTCAGGGTTGCAGCTACAACCCAAATCCCCAAAGGAAGACGCAGATCCTGGCGTGAAGATTGGGCTGAAATCACAGTCTCACTCCGCTGAACTGTCGAGGTGTGTGATGTGGACCACGTCACTGTTCCTGGGTCTCTTCAGTAAAAAGGGAGACCCCTGAGCTCTAGAGGCATCTAGGAAACGTCCAGGATCATGCAGTGGATGCGTCATCGCTGAGCACCTACTTCCTGCGGGTGGTGGAATGTAGCAGCAAGAAAAACAGACAAATTTCCTGCCTTCAGGGAGCTTGTCTGGGACACAGGCAGCACATCCCATGGAGAAGTCAGGAGACACCAGGTGTGATGGATAAAACAGCAGGATGGGCGTAGCTTCCGGGTCCGAGGGAGGTGCTGGGCTGAGCAGAGCCATGAAGGAGGGCAGGCGCGGGAGCGAGGCTGCTGGTGGGAGGAACAGAGGGGTCATGGTGGTGGAAACGGGCTGAGTGAGGGCACTCGGAGCAGCAAGGTCAGAGGGATGCTCCATTGGTGGAGCAGGACCTGCAGTGTGCCCGGAGGTGCTCAGGCTTCCCCAGCTAATGGCTCCAAAAGGCAGCCTGCTCTCAGCTGCCAGAGGGGCAGCCATCCCAGAGGACACAGGATGTTTCCAGGAGGAGGGAGCAGTGAGCCCTGTGCCCAGCACTGCTAATGGCTCAGAACGAGGGCTGAGAATGTGCAGGTGGGCTTCAGAGCGGGGAGGTCTTGGTGGGCTTCCTGGAAGGAGTTTCTTTGGTGAGTGGTGATTGTGAGAGCCAGACTAGTGGGGGGATTCCAAGACAGGAGGGAGGAGAGGAAGAGGAATGGACCTTGTAAAGGGGAGACAGAGGGGGTGGGTGGGAAGAGAATTAACAGTGTGCCTGGTGGAGAGAGGAACTGGGGTGGGGAGGGGAAGGAGGGTTGCCAGGGCAGTTTCCTTATCGGGGGAGGGCTGGGCTCTAGACCCAGAGTAGGGGGTTTGCCTTGCCCTGAAGCACAGAGGTTCCTCCACATGACGGGGCCAGGAAAGGGTCCTGAGGTTGGGAGGTAGTTAGAGGCCGAGGTGAGAGGGTCTCCTGGGGCTGCTTCTGTCTCCCCAGTGAAGTAGGAAACAGGTCACCAGCTGACCAGAGGAATGGGCCTGGTGTAGCTGGTGGGAGGAGAAGGTATGAGGGAGGGTCCGGGAGAGAGGGTTGGGGAACAGAACAAGACTGTGGGTGATCACTGGGCCTGTAGCAAGAGCCCCCGGAGGTTGGGGGACGGGTGGGTTTCCTCCATCCACCTTCAGTGCCATAGGGGCAGGCATGGAAGGGGGCCCAGGACTGGACTGTCACCAAGGGATATGGCTATGTCTGAGAAGGGCCTCGGTGCTGAGCGCATCTCAGGGGAGTGGTGCTATGATTGGTGAGGGGGTGAGGGGCTGTGAAAGGCAGTAGCATGAGTGGATCATAGACAGACCCAGGTGGGGAAGGGGCGGTGGGGGTCCCGACCAGTGGGAGTGAGTTGGGGAGGGAGGAGGAGGCAAACAGGTGGCCCTCTGTGGAAGATCTTTCTTTCTTTCCCTCCCCTGCCCGAGTCCACTTTCTGCTTCATCCTTTGCCACGTATTCCTTGATCTTCCTTTATCATAGCTCCTGTAGATCTCTGTGGCCCCACCCCTAGCCCAGGGACTTGTGTACAGTAGGTGTCCCGTACATGTTCTTGCATACAGTAGGTATCCCAGACATGCTCAAAGATGCTGAAGGACAAGATCTGAGAGGAGCAGGGAGCAGCTCCCCTGTTCCTGCTGTTGAGCAGGGAGGGCCGAAGAGCCCAGCTCTCGGGTGGGGGATCTTGGGACCGTGGGGATCCTCATGCTCCGCTCTCATAGTTCTGTTATAAACCAGCAGCATGTCCCCGCAGGTGGAAGAGTGGTCGAGTCCCGGTACCTGCAGTATGAGAAGAAACCCACCAAAAAGGTAACGTGGAGTGCACACGTGAGACGGCTCTGGACGGGGCTGTGACAGACTTGAATTCTGAGACAGTGGGAGAGGGGCCCGGCCTGGCAGCATTGGGGACTTTGCCCAGTTGCCTTTGAGGTTGTGGTGCCCTTCATGCCGAGTCGAGTGTCTCTGTCGTGAGCAGCCGATCGCCTTGAGAATCCCTTTTGCAAAGTCGTGATCTCTGTTGAAATTTGAAATTGTTCTCGCCTTTCAACTCGGGAATTCCTTCCTGGATTCTGTCCTGAGCGGTTCTGTTGAGTGCCCAGCACACGGTCCCTGGCCTTGGCTGATATTTCAAAAACACTTGCAGGCTTTTAGAGAAAGACTGTGGGAAAGTAGGACGTGCCTGAATCACCAGTGCTAGGGAAGAGCTTAGTGAACTACCTGCAGTCACACCATGAAGATTGTGACACCACTGAATGTGACGGCCTGAAGTACTTAGCACCATGAGCACGGGCTTTGTGTGAGGTTTATTGAAAACAGATTACCCAATTACGTATTTTGTTTCAGTGTGTAGGCACTGAGAACATGGTGAGGTGAAGGTTGTGTTACTCCTTCTGTTTTCCGAATCTTTGTTTATGGTAAAGTTAAGGTAGATATTAATGTCTTCTACCTGTCTCTTACTCTGGTAGGGTGAATGTCAGGTTCTTGATAATGTGACTTAAGATCTGGCTTGAAGAAAAAGGATACCTTTGAGCAAACCAATACAGTTTTTGGAGTGATTTTTTTTTAATGGACTTAGTTTTTTAGAGCAGTTTTAGGTTCACAGCAAAATTGAGCAGAGGTACAAGATTTCCCATATATCCCCCTGCCCGCTACACATGCACAGCTGCCCCCATTATCAGCATCCCCCCCGAGTGGTGCATGTTTACAGTGGATGGACCTACATTAACACATCATCACTGGAGTCCATGGTTTACGGTAGTGAAGTGATTTTCAACAAAGGATCACAGTCCACACTTCGTAATTTTAACATTGCCTTGCAGACTTGGTTACAGCACCCCCGTGTGTCTGCATGCTGTAGTATTTTAGATTTTTGAGAACTTCTCTGATTTCTTTATTTCATCTTTTAAATTAAAGGATAATTTACATAGAGTAAGCGTCTTTTCAGCGTGCAGTTCTGTGAATTTTTTTTTAAATTATTTATTTATTTATTTATTTATTTATTTCCCCCAAAGCCCCAGTAGATAGTTGTATGTCATAGTGCACATCCTTCTAGTTGCTGTATGTGGGACGTGGCCTCAGCATTGCCAGAGAAGCGGTGCGTTGGTGCGCGCCCGGGATCCCAACCTGGGCCCCCAGCTGCGGAGCACAAGCACTTAACCTCTAAGCCACGGGGCCGGCCCTAGTTCTGTGAATTTTGGCAAACACATCCAGTCACAGACCCACCACAATCAAGATACAGAACAGTCCATCACCCCCAAAATCCCCGTGTACCCCAATGGAGCCGCCCCCTCCCCACTCCAGGCAACCTTGATCTGCCTTGTGTCCCTGTAGCTTTGCCTTTTCCAGAAAGCCATTTAAAAAGTGTCACACGGGATGCAGCCTCTTGCATCTGGCTTCTTTCATGTAAAGAGCACATTAGAGGTCCCTCCCTGTCGTTGCCTGTCACAGTTAATCTCAGTTCCTTTTGATCGCTGAAGAATATTCCACTGTATGGATGGACCACAGAGTGCTCAGCCATTCACTAGTGAAGGACATTTGATTGGTTGCCCATTTCTGGCAGTTATGAACGAAGCCACCTCAGAGGTTCCCGTGCAGGATTGCGTGTGGCTGGGTTCTCATTTCTCCCAGCTGGGGGATTCCTGGGTTGCAGGGTGAGTGTGTGTCTCACTCTGTGAGAAGCCGCCCCGCTGGCATCCAGAGTAGCTGCAGCGTCTTCCCATCAGCCACAGAGGAGAGCTCTGGTCAGAACTTTGAGATTGAAGCCGTTCTAGGGGGTGCGAAGTGGCATCTGATTGTGGTTTTCATTAGCATTTCCGTAACATCTTTTCATGTGTTTATGGGCCATTCTTATATCTTTGGTGATGTATCCAAATCTTTTGCCCATTTTTTGTTGGGTTACTTGTTTTTATTATTGAATTTTGAGTGCTCTTTCTATATCTTGAATACCAACCCTTTATGGTGATTTGCAAATATTTTCTCCCAGGCTGTAGCTCGTCTTTTCAGTCTCTTAAGGGTCTTGTGAGAAGTAGAAGTTGTAGATTTTGATGAAGTCCAGTTTATCAATTTCTGCTTTTATGGATTGTGCTTTTGGTGTCTCATCTAAGAAATCTTTGCGTAATCCAAGATCACAAAAGATTTTTTCCCATGTTTTCTTCTATTAGTTTTATAGTTTTAGGTTTTACGTTTAGGTCTGTGGTTTATTTTGAATTAATTTTTGTATCTGGTGTGACGATGGAATCGAAGTTCATTTTTAAGCCTATGGATCTCCTCTTGTTCCAACACCATTTGCTGAAATGACTTTCCTTTCCCCATCGTATTTTCTCATCACCTCTGTCGAAACCCAATTGACCATATACGCACACATCACTTCTGGACTCTTTTTCTCTTCCATTGTTCTGTGTGTCTATCCTTAGGTTAGTTCCACACTGCTGAGATTACTGTAGCTTTGTAGCAAGTCTTGAATTCAGCTAATGTGAATTCTCACACTGTGTTCTTTGTCAAAACTCTTTGGCTTTTCTAGTTTCTTTGACTTTCCATATAAATTTCAGACTTAGCTTGCTGTTTTCTACGAAAACTCCTGCTAGGATTTTGATTGATTGAGTCTATGCATCAGATTATGGAGAGTGACATCTTGAAAACACAGAGCCTTTCAATCCATGAACATACTATACCTCTCCATTTATTTAGGTCTTGGATTTCTTTCAACAGTGTTTTGTAGTTTGCAGTGTACAGACCTTCCCATGTTTTGTTAGGTTTATACCTAAGTATTTGGTGTTTTTTAGTGCTGTTATACTTGATACTGTCTTTTAATTTCCAAAATTGTTCATTGCTTGAAATATGATTGATTTTTTTATATTGACCCTGTATCTTGTAATCTTGCTAAACTTACTAGTTTTAATAGCATTTTTTAATACATTTTGGGATTTTCTACGTGAGGAATTGTATCTACAAGAAGAAGTTTTTTGTTTTGTTTTGTTTTTTTAAATACTGATTTTGCCAGTTTTTGCCAGTTTTTTAGTTGCTTTTATTGAGGGATAGGCTTTTGAAGTTTCCTCCTCTGTCTCTTTTTGTTATATCATCTCTCTGCATGCATACTTTTTTTTTTTTGCTGAGGAATATTCGCCCTGAGCTAACATCTGTGCCAATCTTCCTGTATTTGTATGTGAGTCACTACCACAGCATGGCTGACAAGTGATGTAGGTCCACGCCTGGGAACTAAACCTGGGCCGCCAAAGCAGAGCACGCTGAACTTAACCACTATGCTACGGGGCTGGTCCCAAGAAGAGTTTTATTTCTTCCTTTCCTATCTGTGTGCCTTTTATTTCTTATTCTAGGGCCTCCAGTACAAGGTTGAATAGGAGTGGTGTCCATGCACTGAAACAGTCTCGCTCTTTACAAGGTTTCTTTTATATTATTATAACAGCTTGCTAGCTCCATGTTTGCTTTCTTCTAAATTTTGAAGATTAATACCTGTACAAAAACTTCGTTTTTCCTGACTACCAAAGTAACATGTTCTCCCTAGAAAACTGGCAAATAACTAAAAACTATACAGAAAAATCAGTCACCTGTAATCTGCTGTGTCAAACATAATCACCAGCAAACATTTTGGTACTTTCCTGTAGTCTATGCGTGTGGGGGCATCCTTTTTGACAAGATTAGTTCGTCCTGTTTATATGCAATTAAATGTCAGAACTCCTTAAGCCTCAAAGTAGGAGCAAATGCAATCTGCACAGACCACGAAGGGGCCCCTTCTCATGAAGAGGAGGTGTCTTGTCCCCTAAATGTTACATGTTCCCCTAACAGGCTTCTGCAGCAGATGCATTAAAGACCAGTGGGAAGATGCCTGAAGGTGGAAGGAAACCCCACCCACTCCATAAGAGCAAAGGTACGTAATGATGGAGGAACGGGGCGAAACGGCTCTGAAGCTCAGGAATTGATGAGCGTGGTGGTGACTTTTGTTTTCAAGTAAGCTAAGTTAAGACTCCCTCTTTCCTTTCTGGGAGAAGGGGAAGGAGCAAGGCAGAGAGTTTCAGTATAAGGACAGATTTGGGGCGTGTGGGTGCTGAAGGGGGATGGCGAGGGAGTTGGGGGGAGGTCTCTTCCTTCCTGTGTGGCCCCAGAAAGAGCCACGTTGCCATCCTGACACTTCCTTGTGGCACCAGTTTCTTTCAGGTGACTGTTTTCTTGCCAGCACTCCGACAGCAGGGCTCTCAGAGAGCGCGTGAGGACTTGTCCTCCTGCCTGTCACTGCCGTGGGTTGGGTCTTCCTCTTAATGGCCTCCCCACACGCCTCCTTCTAGAAGCTGTCACCAAAGTGATATGAAAAACTTTCAGTTTTTCTGATTCTGGACGTGACAAGTGTTCATTATTAAAAAATGGAAAATGTAAACCAGGAGGGCAGAAGCTCCCTCATGGTCCCTGTTGGCATATTTGGTGTTCAGTTCTAGTCAATGTGCTCATTCTAGAAGTCCAGGAAGACCCCTCCCTAGCATAGCACTTCGTCCACCTCCTCTCATACCCGCCTCTCCAGCAAGAGTGGGCAGCTCTTTTGCATGAGAGCAATTCACAAGAAGCAAAACTGTTTCTCGGCCCACACCCCCTCGTTCAAAATGGTGACAGCTTTGAGTCACATAGGAAAAAAATAAGCATGTTCTTTTACAACTTAGATTTCCTAATTTATTGTTCAGATTAAGGGTCAGCAGACCTTTTCTGGGCCAGATGGTAAATATTTTGGGCTTTGCAGGCCAGATGGTCTCTGTCACAAAGACTTAACTCTGCAGTTTACAGTGGAAAGCAGCCACAGAGCATATGTACACAAATGGACGTGGCTGTGTGCCAATAAAACTTTATTTACAAACATAGGAAGCGGCCCAGATTTGGCCTGCGAACTATAATCTGCTGATCCTGGTTTTGATGTTTGTCGGAATTTGCACTGTTCCTTGACCCAGGCATAATTGAGAAACAGGCACATGGAGCCAGCCTACTATTTTTTTCTCACGCAGTTGGGTTGAGAGCCACGCATGAAGCTGGGAAAGCTGGCATGACTAGAGGGGTCACAAAATGGGTCTGCCATATCTTAAAATGAGACTTCTCAACTGGGGGTGATTCAGACTTGGCAATGTTGGGAGACATATGTGGTGGTTATGACTGAAGGAGGAGGTGTGCTCCTGGCATCTGGTGGGTAGAGGCCAGGGATGCTGCTCAACACCCCAGTGCCCAAAACGGCCCCACGACAAAGGATTATCCGGCCCCAGATGTCAAGGCTGAGAAACCATAATTCAAACCTAACCATGATAATTTAGAGGAACTGCTTGTTGGAGTTCCACTGTATGGCTTTATAGGAAATTACTTTTCTTAATGGAAATGCTGTGCACGCAGATGACAAAACATTTAACCACGGGAAAAGCAACAGCAACAGTGTCACCATCTCCCACCTCTGGTTCCCAGCTCCTCACCCGGGAGGCAACTGCTCTCAATAGGTTTCTTTAATCTAGATAGAGTTTTTAAAAAACTCTGACACGAATGGCCCCATACCCTACACGTCATTGTGATTTTGCTCTTTGTATTCCACATGTCCAAATTCTCAGCTGCACAGTTGTTCATTAAATAGTTTTCTGTTTAGTTCCTAACACGGCAGAGTGTATTATATATCCCATCTGTTCATTTGCTGTCCTCTGGAGCCCTTCCTTAATTGAAGGCTGAAGCACACCAGTGCCCATTTTAGAGGGTGGGAGGCATCGTCTCACCTTTTTAAATAGAGGCTAAAAGATGTAGGGAACTCCCAGGGAAGATGAACAGTCTTCATCTGCCAGAAAAAGAAGGAAAAGAGGGGCTGGCATGGTGGCATAGTGGTTAAGTTCACGTGGTCTGCTTTGGTGGCCTGGGGTTCGTGGGTTTGGATCCTGGGTGCAGACCTACACATCACTCATCAAGCCATGCTGTGGTGGCATCCCACATACAAAATAGAAGATTGGCACAGATGTTAGCTCAGGGCCAGTCTTCCTCACCAAAAAAAAGGAAGGAAAAAGAGCAGAGGGCAGAACAAGTCTATGGCATGTGTCAGACTCATGTCCTGAACACAGCGTCTTTCATTAAACTAAGCAGAAAGACTTATTTGCATCTTTTGGGTATAAAGAATGCCTCTCTTTTCTAGTTCTGCTTTAAAGTATGTTCAAGTTGATGACTGGGAATTTCCAAATGTTTTTCAGCCTTCTCGGCTACATTCATGTGCCACATAATGATGTTTTGGTCACCAGTGGACCATGTACATGACAGTGGTTGCATAAGATCAGCGCCATGGAGCCTAGGTGTGTAGTGGGCTAGACCATCTAGGTTTGTGTAAGGACACTGTGATGTTCGCACAACGATGAAATTGCCTAATGACGCATTTCTCAGAACGTGTCCCCATCGTTAAGCAACACATGACTGTACTACCTTGCCAGAAGCTGAGGTTTGGGGCCAAGCCCGTGGCATAGTGGTTAAGTTCGGTGCGCTCCACTTTGGCGGCCCGGTTTCGCAGGTTCAGATCCCAGGCGCAGACCTATACTGCTTGTCGGCCATGCTGTGGCAGTGACCCACATACAAAATAGAGGAAGATTGGCAACAGATGTTAGCTGAGGGCGAATCTCCCTCTAGCAAAGAAAAAAAAAATAGAAGCTGAGGTTTGGGAAGCAAGTGGTATTGTGCAAAGAAGTTGCCTGCTTCTTGGCTCTGGGAGAGAGTGTCTCGCTGACTGTGCTGAGTTCTGGGGACTCTTGTTGGGCCCACAGATGGCTGTAGACTCGGCAAAGGTGACCTGCAGTCCACGTTGCTAGAAGGGCACGGCACAGCCCCGCCTGATCTGGATCTCTCGGCCATCAACGGTAACTCGTTCACCTCACCTTTTCCTGGCTGGGGGTTGCAGTGTGTCTCCGCGGGCTTCCAGAGCACGTGCTCCTCACCTTAAAAATGCTTTTCTTGATTTTAGACAAAACTATGATCAGAAAGACTCCACAGTTAGAAAAAACAGTGTCCAAGAAAACTGAGTCGACGTCATTTTCTGCCTCGAGGAAAAAGAGCCCCGTAAGTGTCCAGACTGGAAGGGAAGCTCTAACAGGTTGTATAAATCTGATGAACTCCTGCCTTGTGCCAGGTACCAGGTGAGGCCTGGGCTCCAGGAGTGAACAAACTAGTCTGCCTTTTAGGACATGAAGCAAGACCACACGTGTTCTTAGAGTGTTGGTGGAATTTGAGTTTCTCCTAGTACACATACAGGAGGACACGGAAATGCAGGAGCATGTGATGGATGAGACTGGGGCCTTGTCTTTTGGTGCTGTGCTAGGACTGGCCCTGTCCTCTGGCAGGAGGATGGCCAGGCTGTGGTCTCCCCCAGGTGGGGGCCCCAAGTCCTGGTTCTGATGAGGCGCCAAGTTGGTGGGTGCCTTCACACTGGCCCTTGACTGCCCAGCCACCAAGAGGGGACCAGAACACCTTCATCCTTTTTGCAGAGTGCCCGAAAAGACTAGCCAAGGAAATGGAAACAGCAGGTCGATATACAGGAGAGAGTTATCAAATTACTGAATTAAATAAAGTACATGCAGGTTAGGGTTCTGCCCTCCCCGGGAGGTAGAGAGCTAGATTTACAGCAGTTTGTTGTCAACCAGAAGTGTCTTTTCCTTCTCCTTAAGGATCTTTCTGAAGCGATGGAGATGATGGAATCCCAAACCTTACTCCTGACTCTCCTGACTGTAAAGGTGAGAAGAGAACCTCAGTCACACGTGATGTGAGTGGAAGGTGGCTTCTGTCAGCCACAGAGGTGAAGTCCCCTCTGGCTGAGCTCTCGTTTTGCACTTAGCAGATGGAGAACAGTCTCGCTCTGTTCGAAGAGAAGGCAGAAAGGAATTTATTAGTAATGTGCGAAGAGAAGGAGAAGCTACAGAGAAAGGCCCACGAGCTGAAGCGCAAACGTCTCCTCTGTCAGAGGAAGCGGGAGCTGGAAGGCATCCTTGACGCTCAGGTCAGCTGTGACCACAGTCTCCGAGCCACATGTCCCACTGGGGTCATCCCGTTAGAAAAGTTTATGGAGGGTGTCACTGCTTGCCTGGCTCTGAGTCTGTGCCTGGCTTCTGACACCACCACTGTGGGTCTGTGACAGTTTATGAGAGGACAAGACTAATGTCGACTGCCAGCCAGCAAGACAGACTGTCCCTTCAACACACGTGCACGTGTTCTTCAGGCACCTGTGACTTGTGCCCAGTGACAGGAAGCCTCACTCCTCCAGGCCTCTTCTGGGGGCCAGGGTGCTGGTGGGAGACGTGGTCTTGGTGCCGTGTGGTCAGTGTGTGGATGAGGAAACGGGGTTCCTTACCCAGGGTGTGTGTGTCTGGGCTGCCGTCACAGAGTACCACAACCCCGGCGGCTCCGACCACTGGCGCTCCTTCTCTCTCAGTTCCGGAAGCCAGAAGTCCGAGATCAAGGGGTTGGCAGGGTTGGTTCCTTCTGGGGGCCATGAGGGAAGGATGTGCCCCAGGCCTCTGTCTTTGGCCTGTAGATGGGCGTCTTCTCCTGGTATCTCTTCTGTTGTCATTCTCCCTGCACACAGGTCTGTCTCTAAATTTCCTCCTTTTATAAAGTCACTGGTCATAATTGAACAGGGCCCACCCTGATGACCTCACTGTAACTCATTTACCTCTGTGAAGACCCTGTCTCCAAGTCAAGTCACATTCTGAGGTGCTGGGGATTGGGATGTCAACAGAGGAATTATGGGAGGGGGGCACAATTCAGCCTGTAGTGCCCAGTGTGTGCACGTGAGTGCACCCTGCGCCAGGCTCTGGGCTGAGAACGGGGTCCCTGTCCACATGGAGTGGAAGGAAAAGATGACAAATAAATCATTACAAACACCTGTGAGGATCTGGGCAGTGTGTACAAGGGAAAAGGGGGTTGCTGGGGCAGCCTTGTGGCAGGCAAGCGTTTCACCTCAATGCTCTGAAGCAGGAGGGCCCAGCTTTTTTGGGTTCACTGTGATCCCAGTCGAGGGCCTGGCCCTGGGATGTGCTGGAAGGCAGACGCATGTCCCTAGTGAGGAGGCCCGGGCCACCTTGCTATTGGCTGGGCCGTCAGTGGGTGGCTGGGAGTGAGGGGAGAGCCCACTGCACCCCTGGAAGCTTCCCGGAGTATTCCCTAGGAGATCCTGAAGAACAATGCTGTATCTTAACCTCGCTGAGCACATAACTGCAGGCTCTTGTCTCACGGGCCCCTTTCTCTCCTGCCTGCAGATGGAGATGCTCAGCCCCTACCAGGCCGTAGCTGAACGCTTTAAGGAGCAGTACAAGACATTTGCAACAGCCCTGGACGCCACAAGGCATGAGCTGTCTGTGCGATCGGTCCACATGGACGGAGACGGGCAGCGGTTTTTAGGTAGGAAATAGGGTGTCTGCTGGGCGAGAAGCAGGACAAACCACCAGTGCGTGTTGGTGCTTCCTGCGAGCCAGGCGCCTTTATCCCTTCATGTCATATCACAAGCTTCCTCTCGGGTCGATGGCATGCTCTCCCATCAAATGGCAGAGGACGCAGGGGGCTGAAGGGACTGTGGTTTTCCAGGGTGTGCCCCCAAGTAGGGACCATGCTGGGATTGGAAGCCAGGTCTGTGGGCCTCCCCGGTGATTTCCTCCCTGCTGAAAGGCGTTTCTGGGGGGCAGCCTGCTATCCCCCAGCCTTGGAGTGAGCTCTACAAAGTTGCCTTGGCGGCTGGGGAGTGACAGGGCCCCCACCTTGTCCTGCTTTCTAAGCAGAGCTGTGGCATCCCTTTCCTGCACGGAATTCCACCTGATGCTTCACTTGAGGACACGGGCAAGTGTGAGAATGCCGGGCTCGACCTTAAGATTCCCTTTAGGGCAGGTGTCTCCCGAGGCAGGTGTTCCGCTGCCCTGGAGTGCAGTTGTTTCCAAGCAGGTCTCTATGAGCCATCTGACTGCGTTTTGCTTGAGGCTGATGTGGTAAAACATTGCCACCTAAAATCGGTTGGACTTTCTCTCCAGAACTTACCACAAATGCAGTTCAGGATCACAAAGGGTGTTGTGTATTGGCAGTCTCAGACAGAGACGATTTTTAATAAAATCAGGCCTTTTCCAATGTGAAATAGTATATGTGTGACATGGAATCTTGAAAAATGAGCCTTGTTGAATGATTTTCCGTTTCCAAGTTTCCAATTTTATAGCCACGTGCCGCATAACGACGTTTCAGTCAATGACAGACCGTATAGATGACGATGGTCCTGTAAGATCAGTGCCACATGGCCTAAGTGTGGAGGAAGCTAGGCTGTCTAGGTGTATGTGAGTACACTCAGTGACGTTTGCACAACGACGGAATCACCCAGTGGTGCATTTCTCGGAACGCATCCCTGTCGCTAAGCGACACATGTCTGTAACTCTTGGACTGTCTGTGATGAATTCCTTAGGTAGTTGCCAGGAGCTGGGACTGGGGAGTGTCTGAGTTTCCTGTGGTTGCTGTGACAAATCACAAACTGGATGGCTTAAAACAACAGAAATTTATTCCCTCCCAGTTCAGGTGGTCAGAAGTCTGAAATCAAGGCGTTGGCTGGGAAATACCTTCCAGAGGCTCTGAGGGCGAGTCCGTCCAGGCCTCTCTCCCGGCTTCTGGTATTGCTGACTGTTCTTGGCCTTCGTGGCTTGTGATAGCCTTGCTCCCATCTCTGCCTCCGTCTTCACGCAGCCTTGTCCCTGAGCACCTCTGATTCTAAATTTCCCTCTTTTTGGAAGGACACCAGTTATTCGATTAGGCTCCACCCTAATGACTTCATTCTAACTCAGTTACGTCTACAGAGACCCGTTTCCACTTAGGTGACATTCTCAGGTACTTGAGATTAGGGACCGAACATTTCTTTTGGGGAAGACACAATTCAGTCCACAATAGGGGGAGTAGGAGGATGTGTGTGTGAGGTCCTCATAAGGTGCCCAGAATGTTACCATAACATACAGTTGTGATGGGCGTAGATGTGCAGAGGCGACGTGTACCAGGAGCAGAGAGATGCTAATTTTCTTAGAGCAGGTGGGACACACAGCACGGTTGCAAGCGGCTCTCTGCTGGGGTTGGGGTGCAGAGATGCTGGGAATGGGGAGTGGGAACTACAGGTTTGTTTTTAAATTACTCACAACACAGGCTTTCTCCGCCTCTTAACGTTGGTTTCTGGATGCCAAGTGGCGTTCCAGGTCTGTTCTGATGACCACCTGGGTGGTGGACACGCCTGACCCACGATCTCAGGCCACCATGATCCCAGGCCAAGGGGCACAGAGGCAGTACCAGTGCACAGATGCCTTCCTTCGTGACCCTTCTGCTGCTCAGCTCTTCACAATTCCAGCACAACATGAGGGCGTTCCAGTGAAACAAGAAAAATCCAATCAGCCACCCAGCTCTTGCATCTGTTGCTTGGGGCACCTTGAAACCCAGGGCTGACGACCGCTTGTCCCTTCCAGATGATTTGCAGCGGGAATTGACGACCACCCACCATCTGCTGGGAGAACTTGGCATCAGCAGTTCAGAAGAAAATGGGAAAGTGCTTGACCTGCTGAGTGAACTCAAGGAATTGACACGAAAGAAGGATCTGGAGCTCCGAAGGTATTTCAGAAAATGGTTTAAGAAAAAGATAGGCCCTCTCCTGGCAGAGCTGGGCAGTTGGTGGCTGCACCGTGGAGCAGTGTGCTGAGCTCTGGAGAGCAGGCAGTGCTGGTGTCCGCAAGGGAACCAGGGTGCCTGGGTCCAGCAAGGCGGGAGAGGGGAATGTGCAGAAGCCTTCAGCTCTCCTAGGGCCCAGTGTGAGTCTGCAGCAGCAGAATAGGCAGGGGATGATGGTCTCAGCTCTCGTTCACTTCCTCAGAGCAACATAGCAATCCAGTGCTCTGGGAGCTTGTTCATGTTTTAAATGTCTTCCAGGATCAGAGCTGGGGCATCTTCTTGGGACTTCTTAGTGAAGTATAAACACATACAGAAAAGGCACAGATCTTAACAGCACAGCTTGATGGGTTTCACAAACGTGCCACTGTAGAACCAGTCCCAGGCCAAGCACAGCCCACGCCCAGCCCCCCACACCACCCTGGCCCCCTTCCCTCGCTGTTGATGCCTCCCTGGGAGCTTTCTAACCATGAGGCTTTCCCCACATCTTCCAGAGAAGAATCTTGTTTCCCTCTCCTTTACAATGCTAAATATGCTTCCCAGGATGCCTGGAATCTTTGAAACCTCCTGTCGCGTTTCTTTTGTTGATATGTGCCCTGGATGATGATATCAGGATGCACCAAAGGGTTCAGGATTGCCAGGGTCACGGGTTCCAGTGGTTAAACGCGTTCATTTAGTACCTACTTCCCTGCCGCCACTTACGTTGAATGAGGGCTGAGACATTATCCCATTCCGGTTCTGTCTCCTGTTCTCTGGACGGTTCCTGAGGCAGCACTGGTATACTCCCTAAATATTTGTTGAACACACACAAATGACTCTTTTCTTGCATGCCTGCCTGGTCCCGTTATTGGGGGCCACCCTGTTTGAGTTCTGTTCCGGCAAATCTTGTTTATTGCCCTTTGCCACAAGCACAAGGAGGGTTGGCGTGAATCCACCTCCCCTGCACGGCAGCCTCGCAGGTGAAAAGTCTTCATCCATCCTGTCATTTCCACAGGAGCTTTGCCCAGGTGCTGGAACTTTCTGCCGAGGTGAGTAAAGAGGCAGCCTTAACTAACCAGGAGGTCTGGGAAGAGGTCCAGGGCCCCACAGCCCCCACCCAGTGGTATTTCAATCAAGAAGGCGCCTGCGGGGAGACTCAGGACGAGGGCAGGGGCCCCCTCCTCTACAGCAACGACGAGCCACGTGCGCAGTGAATCCACGCACAGCCCGTGCCCCCAACCCAAGTGGGGCCTTCCTGCAAACCGTCGGGAAGAAAGCACGTCCTGTGCCGCTGTTCAGGGCACATGTGTGCCAGTGGCACATACGTGATATTCTGGAAACCTGAGCACTTTATACACTTAATTTAGCAGTATGGCTATTTTTGTTTGATAATCTCGTTTGATTTTTTTTTTTTGTGTGAAGAGGACTAGCCCTGAGCTAACATCCGATGCCAATCCTCCCCTTTTTTCTTGAGGAAGAGTAGCCCTGAGCTAACATCGGTGCCCATTTTCCTCTACTTTATATGGGACACCGCCACAGGATGGCTTACCAAGCGGTGCGTCAATGCGCACCTGGGATCCAAACCTGCGAACCCTGGGCTGCCGAAGCGGAGTGCACGCACTTAACTGCTTGCGCCACTGGGCCGGCCCATCGTTTGATATTTAAAAAATAAAAGTTTTGCAATTGAGCCTTTTTTTCCATGTAAGGGGCAGTAGAAGTCACGTGTTGTCTCAGGTTCTTCCAAATGGCTGGTCCTGAGTCTCGGGCCCTCTGGGACATCATGAGCAATTTCACTTTGCAGATGATTTCCTGTCCTTCAGTCACAGGGCAATTCTGTTTAATCCCCGACAGTGTTAGGAGTTGGCCCTCAGGTAGAAATTCCCCATTTGGTCCAAAGTCCCAGTAGCCATCTATGGGAGGCATCTGCTGGTTTTTGCCATAAGCTGCAATCTACGCTGCACACTGGGCTGTGGCACGGCGAATTTGCCCACCCAGCTCTCAAGGTCCTGTCTACACTGTGTGGGCTCCAGCAGTCTTGCTGGTTCTCATTCACATGCCTTCTGTGTTTCGACACCGCGGAGGGGAGAAGCAATATCCTCCACCACCATGCAGTCGGTGGGCAGAGACGCAGCCGCTTACCTAAAGCCCGTTCCAGCCAGGGTGCTTTTGTCCAACTTGCCCCCCAGTTGCATCACCCGTTACGCTCCTACCCAGGGCCTCCTCAGCAGGCTGCAGCTTGGGGAAGCATCCCCTAGGGAGACAGAATAGTGTTCCCATAAAACATGCGTGTGCAGGAGACAGCCTCGTCCCCTCACGACTATTGAAATGCCCTGGTCTCCATGCACGCTTTGCCGGCATCCTGTCAGCCCTCACCCTCCCATTTCTCCACGTCCACTGGAAGCTTCCCATGGAGGTCCTTTGTCAGAGTTCCAGAAACTTCTCCATCCCATGACCGGTTTTTTTCCCCATTCGTGTGCAGAAATCTTTAGGTCCACGAGCCCAGGAACCCTGGCCCTTTTCTCAGTCTCTGTCTTCACTAATGAGCCAGATTATTGCCCCAGTCGGTTCCAAATCAGCCTTCTCAATGTCATCTCTGCCTGCTACATTTTTAAATTTCCCCAAACTGGGGTAAAAACGGGACTTGTTTGGGCCCTTGCATGGTCAGGGAGCAGCAGGGGCCCCTGGACCCACCCACCGTTCCATGGTGCTGTATGCAGACCTTCCCTTCAGCTCCGTCAAGGCTGTTTCATTCATCCCATTTCTTGATAAGCGTCTGAAGATGTCCACCCTCTCCCTCTCTTGTTACTGAATCCTCTTTTTGTTAGTATCTGTAAGCCCCTGAGGGCAAGAGGAGATGCAAATCCATCAGCCTTCTGGGCTGTGGGTCGATTTTGCAGCAGTAAGGCTCATGGGGTGGCCATGTAGAAGGGCCCCCCTAACCCTCATTAGTTACCATGATGTGGGTAAGGGACGTATTCAGTGGGTGAATATCTCAGTCCTCATAAAGCCAGCCCCATGTGGCTTGCCTACGAAGCGTATCAGCTGCTTCATCTGGGGTGTCACACTCAGCATTTATGGGGGAGTTGGACAGTCCCCTTGCCCAGGGTAAACAGACCTTACAGTGGCTTTTATCCAGTCCACTGGCTGGCTGCTCCCTCAGGACTAACCTGTGTGTCAGCCTGACATACAGCTGTCTGTGACGGTTCCATAGTGAGCGGCGGTCCTGTATCCACCCAGACATGCTCTCCCTCTCTCCAGCGTGCAAACTGAGGATCCTGCCGCCCATGTCGCTCCCCCTCACAATCCATTTTCGTAAGGGTTCTGCAGGGAGCTGACGACACTGACGCACAGAATACAGCGCCCCCACTGTCAGTGGTTGCTTGTTTGCCCTCCCCCATGTCATGTGGACAGCCTCATTAGCGATGAGGGGCCTAAGAGGGACTCTGTTGTCCCCACATAACCTTTCCCTTCGTGGACAGCTCTGAGGCTGGCGGCCAAAGCTCAGGCCTACAGCAGTCTGGCCTTGGCCTGGCATGAAGGTAGGCCTCAACAGTCTCCTGTACTGCATTCTAGCTGTTCTTCCTAGCAGTGGCCAGAGATGGGTGTTAAAAAACAAGCTTTAACGAAGTAAGTTTTAAACATATTCACTTTATTCAATGATTCAGGAATTGGGCAGCATCCAATCTATCAGAGAGAAAGGAGCTCCGAGGAGCTGTACAAAATGAAGGACTTTTCTAGGCAGAAGGGAGCAGGAACAAGAAAGTTATGCTAGGCAAAAATGTGGGTTGGTTACTACCCTTTAGGGGACAGCAGGGGTCTGTCAGGCAGACGACGTCCTAGTGTGATTCCCGATTGACTGGTTTGAGAGCCCATTTCTGGGAGAAGCAAGAGTGTAATCAAGTTAAGACTCAGTTTGGTGATGTAGGGCTTAGCATAAGTGACTCCATATTAGGCTTGGTGTCTTGTTTTTAACATTGGAGACTTCACTTTTTGCTTATTAGTTTGCATTTCTCTATGCACCAGTGGAATTGGATCCAGCTATCAATTCCGTTGGTAGATTTTTACCTCTAGTAAGTAACTGACGGCTGCCGTTCACCCAGCAATCGAAGGTTCCTCATCCCCATTCTTTCGTCTTTTCTCTCCCTAACCCACAAGTTTCCATGAGCCAGGGCCGTTCCAGGGAATTCCATATTCCCTGACCCCAGTTGTATGCTTTCTGACACCACACGTGTGGTTTCTTCCAACACCAACCAATTGTCAGACACCAAACAGATGTCCAACAGTTCACTTTGATTCTGACGCTAACTACCCAGAATGAGCACAGACCCCTCAGGTCAAGGGCTCAGTGCCACAGGACAGTCCCTACTTAAGAGACCAGCCACAAATGGGGTGCCCAGGCTACCCACACTTCTGCCCAGTTGACTACAAATTTGGGGGTTACCATGACCTCCTCCTCCAGGTTTGATAGTTTGCTAGAATGATTCACAGAACTCTGAAAAGTGCTCTACCAATGGTGACAGCTTTACTAAAGAGAAAAACTCATGGGAGGGATGCATAGGACAAGAGATCAGGGATCAGCCATCCCAGAGCTTCAATGCCCCCTCAGGTATGCCACGCTTCCTGCTTTTCAATGTGGTCACCAACCCAGATGCTCTCCACCTCGTTACTGAAAAGTAGCAGAACTTAATCTCCGGCTTCCTTGCTTCCCCGATGTCAAGGAGTGGGGCGGGAAGTTCCCACCCTCTATTCCTGTTTCATGTTTTTGGTGACTGGCCTCCATCCTGAAGATACCGAGGGGGCCCCGTCCCTAATCACCTCTTTAGCATAAACTCAGGCGTGGTCGAAAGGGGTTCGTTATGAATAACAGAACACACTTCCATCAGTCAGGAAATTTTAAGCGTTTTAGGAGCTCTGTGCCAGGAACTGGCGATGAAGACCAAATGTATTTTTTTGTGTGTGTGAGGAAGATCAGCCCTGTGCTAACATCTGCCAATCCTCCTTTTTTGCTGAGGAAGACTGGCCCTGGGCTAACATCCGTGCCCATTGTCCTCCACTTTATATGGGACGCCACCACAGCATGGCTTGCCAAGCTGTGTGTTGGTGCGCGCCCGGGATCCAAACCAGCAAACCCGGGGCCGCCACAGCGGAGTGCGCGCACTTAACCACTTGTGCCACTGGGCCGGCCCCCTGTATTTTTTACTATACCACAGGTCACCCCCTGGTTTTTGACCATTGATCCCTTTTGACAAAAGGATCGTAACCATTCAGAGAGATGGCCCAGTACTGGAGCCCCATCGAGTCACCAGCCAGTAGTCCAGTCCATCATGGTTTTTTTTTTTATTTTTTTATTTTTTTTATTTTTTTCCCCCCAAAGCCCCAGTAGATAGTTGTATGTCATAGCTGCACATCCTTCTAGTTGCTGTATGTGGGACTCGGCCTCAGGATGGACGGAGAAGTGGTGCCTCGATGCGCACCCGGGATCCGAACCCGGGCCACCAGCATCGCAGCGCACGCACTTAACCACCAAGCCACAGGGCCGGCCCCAGTCCATCATGTTGACTGTGGGAAAACGTCTGCCTAGGCAAGGCCGCTCAGTCTTGCAGGCTTCCATTCCATCTCGTCAGGTTCCAAAAGCCGAAGTGGTCTTGGCCCCAGATGGCCTCATCCTTTCAGGCATCTGGTGCAATTGAGCTAAGAGGTCATTTCTTCTCTTGCCCTGAGCGTCCGCAGGTGTTCCCAACATTGATATCCCTCACTGCGTAATCCATCTCATGATTCCTTTACCGTCATATGCTATTCCTCCTCCTCTCCATGTTTACCCAAACCCTTCCACCTTTGGAAAGACGTTAGGTGTGGCCCCTGTGAGGGTCCAGATTGCAGGCAGCACTAGTAGTCTAGCGAGTGCCTCCCCCTGGCCATTCCCACTCGTGTAGGGTACGGCCACGTACCTACAGAACTAGCAGGCCAGCTCGACCCCTAAGCAATACAGTGACATTCCCTGATGGGGCGCCGGCACCACCGGCCCCATAGGCCCTTAGGAATGCTGACTAAGGTTTAACAACAGAGTCGCCATTTCTTGTTTTGGAATCATCCCTGTTGACGGCACTTGTCATCACAGAGCTGGTCCTGCTCCCAGAGCATCAGGTAAGAGAAAGAAATTGGAGGTCATGGGAGGAAGAAAGAAAAATTATAGGCGTCACACTAGCGGCCCCTC